GGGAGCTTTGGCTCCGCCCCCACACCCTCCAAGCACGCTCATAGGCCAGGCCCAGGGAGCTTTGGCTCCGCCCCCACACCCTCCAAGGATGCTGACATGCAGGCCTGCTCCACAGGACACCTTGACTCCGCCCCCACACCCTCCAAGCACGCTCATAGGCCAGATCCAGGACGCTTTGGCTCCGCCCCCATGCCACCAAGCACGTCCATAGGCCAGACCCAGTAAGCCTTGGCTCCACCCCCACACCCTCCAAGCAGCTCATAGGCCTGGCCAGCTCTACACTCCGCAACCCGCACTCTCTAAGCACGATCATAGGCTAGACCAGGAAGCTTTGGCTCCACCCCCTACACCCCCCAAGGATGCTGACAGGATGCCTCGGCTCCGCCCCCGTACACTCCAGGCACGCTCATAGGCCAGGCCCAGGAAGCTTTGGCTCCTCCCCCTGCACCCTCCAAGGACGCTGACAGGCTGGCCAGCTCCACGGAAGGTGGCTCCTTACCTTTTGGTGTCATAGTCAATCAGAACATAGTTCTCCATGGCGAGCTTGAGGTCCGGGATTTCTTCACAGACCCATCTGAAAAGGAGTGGACAAACAGGACTGTCACTGCCAATGCGGTCAGAGCCCGCCGAGTCCATTCTGACTCACAGCGACCCCACGGGGTGGTGGCACAGCGGTCAAGTGTTTGGCTGCTAACCACAAAAGGTCAGTGACTCCGAGGGCATTTCATCCCTGCCCTGAACTGTGGTGTATGTGAGGAACAATGAACACACTGCGGACCACCAGGAGAACGCCACAAACCCATCTTGGAAGATGCACAACCTGAGTGGCCCTTGGAGGCCAAGGATCCTAGTCTGTGGGTATACCACCAGGAAGGGCCACTCCCTAGAGGAGGACCTCACACCTGGGACAAACGTGAAGACAAAGAGGGAGCCTCCCTCGGTGTGATGGACCCACACAGTGGCCGTAAGAACGGGCCGGGATCGGGCAGCGCTTCTCTGTGCAGGTGGGGTCACTGAGTCCGGGCCACTTTGACAGCACCGACAGGGAGCCTTTTCAGAGACCAGATCCCAGAGGGATCCCAGGTCAGGAAGCCAGGTCAGGACCTTTCCAGGCAGCCGTGGTGGCCTAGCAGTTAGGAGCGGCCCTGCCAAGCCAAAGGCACCGCGATTAGAATCCACCAGCTGCCCCACAGGAGAAAGATGGGCAATTAACTGCCTCTGAAAACCCGCTGGAGGGTCAGTTGTGGATTGGCTCCGACTGGATGGCACAGAACAACACAGGATCTTCTTACTGTCACCTGGGGTCCTGAGTTGGAAGAGACACGATGGCCATGGGTGATCTTTGCAGGAGCTGATGACCAGGTCTTTGCTCTGTGGTGCCAACTACCAGTTGTTTGGTTAGCAACCCAGCACTTAATCACGGCACCACCAGAGCTCCTTAAAGACCACCTATTGTTCAGGTACAAACCCCAAAGTCCTTGGTACTCAACCCAAACAGGACAGGGAGAAGAGAAGCATTACTTCAAATCATACCCTATCAAGTGTACATGGAAGTTAGAGTACAGTTCATGGAATTGCAAGTTCTAACGCTGCAGACTCCAGACAGCTGAGCAAATCCACGGACTCCGAAGAGCCCCAGGGAAAGCAGGGAGCAGAAAGAAACCTTTCTACCAGAATCTAAAGGGAATGATCAATGCAGGAAGTCAGCACAAACCCTTCAACAAGCACAGGGTAAGAATAAAAGATGAAAGGGGAACCTCCAGGTAAAGAGACGCAGAAAAGCACCGTTGCCCACCGCAGTGTGTCCACATGGCCGAGATCTCGACACAGCTGAGAGGGAGCCATCACTACAGGACCTACCACTAATGTGAACAGCTGATCACCCAGCAAGCTGGGGGAGGGACAAACTGACACAGAAGCTGCAGCCTCACACTCCCTTTGTCTTAAAGAACCTGCAGTCCAGATCAAATGTCTTGCAACAAAGAAACCAGCTGGCCTCACAGAGCACTGGGAAAGCATTTATGAAGAAACAGCATAAAGTCTTTCAGGATTTCATGAGGCCAGCATTAATCTGGCACCAACACCAGTCATTCCAAGAAAGGAAAAGTAGATACTAGCACTTCTCATGAAGAGACTCAAAGCCCCTCTTAAAACATTAGCCAGTTCTTCTAAGAATCAACCATATATAAGAGCCAAAGGGCAGCACCTGTGTAGGAATAAAGTAAACAGGAAGGGGAAGGCAAGAAGGAAGAATGGAAACAAGAATCACAGGGAGGAAGTGGGAACTGTGACCAATGTCATAAAACAAAATGCATTTGAATGGAAATTCTGTTTGATTTGTAAACTACTATTTAAATAATAATAAAAAGGAAATAAAACATTAGTTTACTGAACGCAACAAGCATGTGATCATGGTGGCATTTATGCAAGTTTGTTTTCTAAGTGGGTTTTGGGGTTTTTTTTTCAACACAGTGGTTAACAAACAACTGTTGTGCAAACGGTGACACAACTACCGTCACCTGAACAGCCCCATTCTTTTTTGTGTGTGTGTGAGTGTATCGTCAAACCAGATCTGACTGGTACAGGAGGAGATTGTCCCTCCTTCCCCAGCAGAGCATCTGGTGGATTCGAACCATGCATCTCTAGGATTGTAGTCGCAGCTCCTTGCCACTAGGCCACCAGAGCTCCCCTAGCCACATTCTTTTTAAGAAAGAAGAAAATAGGTAAGTAGCTTCCCTCTAGTTACAAGGGACTGGAGATTGTCCAGGGTGGAAGTGACAGAGCTATTACTACTTTTCACGCTGGCTGTTAGCAGGGAGTAACCTTTGGCTGTGTCCTCCAGGTGCTGCACCCAGACGGGATACCTCACCACCTGGCCGTCCCCCGGCACATGGCATACGGGGACGCGAGAATCCACCAGTGGCTGCACAAGTCCCCACGTCCCACAGTGACCTGCACTGGGCTCTCACAAACCCAGGTCAGGCCCCAAGAGGCTTCCCAGTGGTGTGGGAGGAGAAAAGGTGAGAAAGCTCCAGAGTCTGCAAGGCCAGGGGAGGCCCCTCCAAACATGGGGAAAGGCTTTCCACAGTTCCTCTCCCTGCACTACCGATGGCCAGGACGCGGCAGGCCACGGTCCCTGTCGATTACAGGGGGAATCGATAGTTGCTTAATAATTTAAGTTCCCTTCTGCAAATCACTGCACCGACAGAACAGACGGGGGAAAAGTAGTGTGATGTTGGACAGATGGAGAAAAGGTGTGTCACAAAACTCAAAGCCTAAAAGAAACCCAACAGAAACCCAGAGCTCAAAGTCTACTCGCCTATGATAAAGCCTCCGGCAGCAAAGCCACCCGGGCCTCTCCGGCAGGGCCACAGGAGGAAGGAGCCTGCAAGAGTGGAGATGACCCCTGCCCACACCGGCAGGCCCTGGTGCTCCAAGCAGCTCATGGGCTGGGGCTGCTGAGTTCACGCAGAACTCGGAAAACAGACCTGGTGATGACTTCTGAGAGCTCAGCGCTGAAGCCTTGTGGCGGGCAGTGCTAACATGACGGGCATCCAGAGTGCCCCCCCCAGGAAGCAGTCGTTCCTCTCACCGCTGTCCTGGCCCGTCTCAGTTTTCCGATACACAGAGCCAGGTTCACGCTGCCCTCCCACTCTCCCAGACCCCGTGAACCACAGGCCCGGGCCTCTCCCAGGAGTCTCCCCCTGCTCCGGGCAGAGCCTGGGGGAGGTGGACGCTGCGGCTCCACGTGGTCCTGACAGCTCTCAGCCGAGTCACTGCCCCGTCTTCCCTTGTCCTCTGAGCCCGGGGAGCAGTAGACAGTCCCAAAAATGGGTGCATCTGAGACACCAGCCCTCACTGGCCTCTCGGGTTAACATTTCTTCACAGCCAGTTCTCCCTGGGTGCCCTGTCCACAGGCAGACGGCACTCATTTTGGGAGGTCACACACTCTCCCCTCCCGTCCCCTGGGGAAGGTGTGGGAGGGGTATCTGCAACCACGCTTCCCCTCAGCCTGGCACCAGACATCCCGGCCAGCGCAGCAAGGAGCCCTGGTGTGTGAGCTGAGTGCCAGGATGCTAACCGAGAGGATGGTGGTTTGAATCCCCTCGACAGCATTCTGCTCCCACAAAGCGGGCCACCTAGCAAGCCGCTGGGGCCAGTCCTTTCCTGGTCCCCAGGAGTCGGCACCCACTGGAGGGCATCCAACAGTAGCACAGTGGACAGCTCAACTAGGGAGAAAAGCAAAAACAAATGGCCGCTGTCTTTGATCAGACACAGGATCTGACATGCAGAAGGTCCTAAGAAACTCAGAGAAACTACTAGAACCTAAATTAATTTAGCCAAGACGCAGGGCACCAGGTCAGTGCACAAAAGGAACCATATTTTACAGACATTTCATAGCCTCTGGCTGAAGTTCTAGCCCGCCAGCTGGTCAACAGGGGCATGACAGGCAGGCAGCCAGCTTCCATCACCAGAACAGCCCTGGAGCCCGAGGGCGCAGCTCTCCTCTGTCCTACAGGCCACAGGGAGTCAGAATCGGCTCAGCGCCGTGATTCACAACAAGGGGGCCCCTGGATGCTGCAAAAGTTTCAATGCTAGACCACTAGCCAGAAGGCTGGCAGTTCGAATCCACTCAGAGGCACCTGCAACACGGGTCCAGTGTCCTGCTTCTGAAGGTCACAGCCTCTCTGCACACATGGAGTGCCGCAGGTCTAACCCAAGGAGCCCCTGACAGTTTCCGAAGAGGCACGCTGCAAGGGGGCCACTCTGACCTGACAGTGGCGCCAATTTCCTTCTTGACTGGTGTCTTCCTGCTCCAGAGCTGAGGCCGGGCTCACCCAAGCTCAGAGAGATCTCCCCGGGCGGGCTGCTCCAGCACCCCCCAGCAGGTCCTGCAGGATCACAAGGGGCCCCAAGAGGGTCCCCGTTCCTTCTCTAGGTCTGCCTGCCAGCTGCCACTTGCATCTGGACTGGAAGGCATGCTCCTTCTAAAAGGTCAGTACAGGACAGGGACACACGCTCCTAGCCACGTTTGCTCCCACGGGCACAGAGAATCAGGGACGCTGGGTCCATGCTCAGGAATCCGAGGCCTGGAGGAGCACAGCCCATCCTGAGGTAAGGCACATGGGGGAAGCCAGGGCACCCCACTTCCTTAGGCAACCTAGCCTGCTTGGCCCACAAACTGAGTCAGGAAGAGGACAGCTAAACCCAAGTTCTGAACCCAGCTCATGTCAGACCCCATGTCAACAGAACTGTCCCACCTCTCCTTGTAGGGGGTTACCAGGCCACGCCAAGGGCAAACCGAGCCAGGCGGCGGGTGGGCGTGCTGGGGCAGTGGACACAGGACTTGCTAGGACTCAGGGGCGACAGAATCCTGCACACAGTGAGATTCCAGGCCAGGGGTCCCGGCGAGAGGAGGAAGTCCAGTGTAGGCAGAACCCTGGGGGCAGGGTCAGCCTCCTTCTCTGTTCTAGTCAAGACCCCACTCTCTCCTCTGCCCGCCCACAAGAGGGTAGGCTCAGGCCTGGTGAGGGTCCTCACACACGCAGCCCAGACCTGGCCCTGGTGAAGGCCGTCAACCTTGGGACAATGAGCTCTGAGCACTGACACGGGCGACAGGCACTGTGTGTGCACAGGGAGAGGGGAGATCACTGGCCCCACTGTACAGGTTGGGAAACTGAGGCCCAGAGAAGTGATGTGACTTATCTACGGTTACACAGCAAAAAGTGAAAATGCCCTGACCAAGGCTCTCTCCCGGCTCCGCAGGCCTGTCCTGAGCCAGTGATGAAAAACTGATGGGGGTACCCCCAAACCCACGACCACATTCACGGTCACAGAGCCAGATCTGACTCGTACCTGACCCGCCAAGGCTGTAAACAGTGTGAGAAGAGGCTGCGCCGCCTCTGTGGTGGGAGAACCAGCAGAGAGGGAGCAGTGCAGCCCCCACGGACTAGGTCACTCGGGCCTGTGTCCTTCGTGGGAAATTCACCAAGTCAAGGTGATCCCCACTCACGACCACTGTGCGTGTCGATGGAACTGCCACGGGGTGTCTCAGGTTGTGAGTGGGTGTCTGCGGTGGTGGGGTGTCTGAGGTGCTGAGAGGTGGAGGAGATGATGGGGTGTCTGAGGCAGTGGAGTGTTGAGATGATGGGGTGACTGAGGTGGGGTGTTGAGATAACGGGGTGTCTGAGGTGGGGTGTTGAGATGATGGGGTGTCTGAGGTGGGGTGTTGAGATGATGGGGTGTCTGAGGAGGGGTGTTGAGATGATGGGGTGTCTTAGGTGGGGTGTTGAGATGATGGGGTGTCTGAGGGGTGTTGAGATGATGGGGTGTTGAGATGATGGGGTGTCTCAGGCGGGGTGTTGAGATGACGGGGTGTCTGAGGTGGGGTGCTGACATGACGGGGTGTCTGAGGTGGGGTGCTGACATGACGGGGTGTCTGAGGTGGGGTGTTGAGACGATGGGGTGTCTGAGGCGGGGTGTTGAGATGATGGGGTATCTGAGGCGGGGTGTTGAGACGATGGGGTGTCTCAGGTGGGGTTTTGAGACGATGGGGTGTCTCAGGTGGGGTGTTGAGATGATGGAGTGTCTGAGGTGGGGTGTTGAGACGATGGGGTGTCTGAGGTGGGGTGTTGAGACGATGGGGTGTCTGAGGAGGGGTGCTGAGACGATGGGGTGTC